GAATTCTGACAAAACAACAACAAAACAACTATCAATGGCGAATAAAAATCAGTTATCAATATGTTATCATAGTGACTTAAATTATTGAAGGTTATGAGCAAGTACTATTCAGTCAACACTAAATCTGAGAGATCCTTTCTATAACTCCTACAAAGCAATTTTCTAAGATTTTTTACATGAAAATTTTCAAAACATTTAATTTCTAGTCGTTATCAAGCACAAACGTCCTTTCTCTGTGTGCCAATTATAGTATTCTCTTCCACTTTAGTGAAAGAGCACAAGAGCCTTCTGAAAAACTATTCTAAATGTTGACATAAAAATAACAATCTAACAACTAAAAAAGATTTTGCATAAAATTGAACGTGCCATCACCTTGGCATATATAACTGCTCTTGTACCCTGCATTATAGAAAAGGAAACAGATCTCTAATTATTCATCCTGACCACTGACACGATGACAGAGTCTCATTTTAGAACGCCGCAAACTCAAACTCGGTTATCTCGAACGTATTTCATGTATTTCAGTCATCTCTGTCTGTAAAATATGGCCTTCGTTATCCTCTCCCCCCCCCCCCCCCCCCCCCCCCCCCCCCCCCCTTATACTTCAGAAAACACAGCATTGATCATGGTCACATCTAGAAGTTTGCATCAACCCTGTGCCGGTTTTTCATTTTGCAGGAAACTGTTAGAAGGTGAAGTAGAACGTTTTCCAATGGACTGGGGATCGTAACATCAAATTCAAACACTTCACAAATGGGAGATTCTGGTGATAGTACCCAAGGACGCCATACGTAACACAAGCCAAACCCTTATTTTTAAGGATAATTTACAACCAGCGCAAATGTCAGAGGAAATTCAGTCGGCCCAAAGGGCGGAAAAACTAAAAAAATGGGCCTAACTGGTCATACAAAAATTTAAAATTGAGTTTAGTTTTGAGCTTATCAAGGGAAAAAATGATTTCATAATAAACTTTTACAGTCAATTGAAAACCATTTTTAGATCTACCCACGCCCCAATAAGCCCCCTACCCCAATAGGCGCTGCCCCTAGCCCATAATATCAAACAAGCATTTTTTTCTCACTTTGTCAAACAGTTTGGATACGAGGAAAACCTGTATTTATTTCCATTTATATATAGTTTCTTAGTGAGCGCCCCCTCCCTCCCCCGCTTTTAAATAAGAGCCCGGGTGCTTAGTCGAGGAAATATGGTGATTGAAATGCACAAGAATATGAAAAACTGACCCACAACTTTTTTGTGTGCACGTTAACAAGAGTTGCTATGGGCTCTTCATTGGAGAAATGTAATGTTTACCCAACCAGGACCGACGCTATTACGGCAACATTCATTTTGTTGATTTGTTCCATTGTTAAAAGATCCTCCCCCTCCCCCACAGGAAATATCCTCATTAACCCCGCCACTTCCCCTAGTGTAACCACCACCACCGCCCGGTCCCTTGTTGAATGAAAGTAAACCACCACCACCTCCGAACCCACCAGAAAACTTTCCACCCTCTCCCCCCTGAAGATATCCTGAACCTCCTTTTCCCCCTCCTTCACTAGAGTTCGTTGCATTATGTCCATTACTATGGAAGCCGCTACCACCACACCTGCAATACAGTCAAAAAGTGATCGGTGATTTTCTTACAAATAGCACCCATAAATTTAATTTCTCGCGATCAAACGACGATCCGCGGTGTTCCGAAACTTAGTTTAGTTCTTTATTTTTAAAGTTTAATTAGTGGAGATTGTTAGTAACAAAAAAGCTCACGAGGAAAAGTCAGCGTAAAAATGCTGCAATTGACTCTTTATTTAGTGCTTCTGTTTAATCCAGATCTGCAGTTAACAAATGAGAAGCCTTGTTTTTCGATGTCATCTCCTGCGTTATATCCGCGGATCCATAATTCATTCGATAATTCACTAAATATGCAGGAGATTTGAAAAGAAAAGAACAAAATTTAACAGAATCCTAAGTCTTGTATGAGGCGCTTCAAAAGAATCATATTAAAAAATCTTCAAAATTGATATTGAAAAAATTTAATAATTACGGTTTTTATAAATGCTTCAAAATCTGATTATCAGCGACTTACTCTATCATTGGGTTGGAGATAGTGAAGGATGGCAATAGAATGCAACAAATTTCTCAGTATTTATAAAAAGGAAATTCTCCACCTACCAGAATTCACACCACTAGTAAGTCCTCCTTGTCCTTCTATTCCACCTGATCCCAGTGGCGAGTTGTTCCCTGCATTCCCTGTAGTGTTTATGGACGCATCACCTGCCGAATGTTGTTCTGACATATTTTTAATTGCCTTCCACCTCCAGCTATGATTAAAGGCGCGTTGTTTCGTCTCACAACAAATGTACCTCCACCACCTCCAGCAGTTTTTGAGTTGCGCCCTCCTTTTTTCCCTTCTTGACCAACAAGTATATGAATGATCTCATCTTTGGTCAAAATAAAGTTTCCAATCATTCGTGCCCCTCTTCCACCGTTCTTGATGATACTGTCCTCACCGTACCCCCCTGAGGCTCCTATTGCTTCAATTCTGTATTCGCCAGTGTGTGGCACAGTCCATTGTTGAATACCGCTGGACAATGTAACTTGCCCGTGATGATCCTGACCTGCGTAATGACCTCCAATTTGGACTGGACGCGTACGTCCACTCATACCAAGAGTTGTAAACACTGCGGTAAACCCTTTATAATATTCGAAAAATGAAAGGGAAAGTTACGGCACTGCTAAGAAATTGTCAAATTGTTTTGGGTACTGCCAATATTGCACACTACCGCTTAGAGAAAATATTCCTGTAAATTCAGCAGAATAAGATAACGAAGCAAAAATCTCCAGAAAATCTCACTAACAAGTAAAACTGACTAAGTTGATTATTTCTTCATAAAGGTATCTTCGCACTGGCTCTGGTAATGAACATGGAATCTACTTTCAACTGCAAATATGCTATCACTCTTGCTGGTAACTCCTCGGAAACTGGTGAATTTACCAAGCTGCATAGCTTTCAACGCTGCAAAATGCAAATCCGTTCACATCTTTAAGAAGAAAACTCTTGGTTGACCTTGATGGACAGCGCTCGAGTGTGTACCTTAAGCTTAAGACATAAGCATCACTGATTCCCGTGATCTCCAATGGGCAGAGCATGCGGACGAATCACCTCAAAGGCCAACAAAACCCTTCGCAAAGCAGGTGAGTTTGCCACGATGTCAATGACATTTAGATAAGGAAGCTGCTGTGCTGTCCTGTGGCCAAACCCAAACTTGAATAATGCTCCTGCCTATGGTCTCCTTATACCATCATACATGGAGCATTAATTGAGAACATCTAAAGGTGTCCAACTAAGTTTATTCTCAACTACCCACCGAGTAACGTCTCTTATGCTGATGGGCTCGTACTGCTGGGCCTGCTGCCGGTAGAATACCATACAGAAATTGGGGACATTATACTCTTGTACAAGTTTAAGTCTGGTGCTATGTCCATCATCAATAAGGAGATATCAGATAGAATGATAAAATAACAGTTACCTGTGCATTTGGTTCCATTTCCACGAAATCCATCTTTACACTTGC